AGAGATGGCTCAGTGGTTAAGAACACTGGCGGCTCTTCCAGAGATCCTGAATTCAATTCCCAGCAACCACATGGTGGCTCACAACCATCTGTAATGGGATTGGATTCCATCTTCTAGTGTGTCTGAAGACAGCGAAGACAGCGACAGTGTACTCACATACATAAAATAAATAATTATTTAAAAAAAGATTACTTTTGGGTTTGTGTTTATGGTTGGTCTTTAGAAGGCCATTTATCCCATTGAGGCATTTGCTATGCAATCATAAGGAACAGTGTGAACCCCCAGAACCTATGTAAATGTCAGGTAAGTGTAGCCTCTGAAGGTGGAGACAGGAGATCCCCAAAGCAAGCAAGTTTGCCAGCTCTGCATTTGATGAAGAGACCTTGCCTAGGTGAGTAAGGCAGAAGAGTGATTGAGAATGACTTCCAATATCAATCTTGGGCTCTACATGCATGTCACACACATGCACAAGCATCCACACATACACCCACATATTCATGCATACACATACAAGAACAATGGCAAAAACACTTAAAATAGAAATATTAAATTGTCAAGAGAAACTAAAGACTATCAGTTAGTTCTAGGACATGATATATGTCTGGTTGGGTATCAAAAAATTTTTAAAGATTTCTTCTTTTATTTATATGTAATCACAGATGAAAGTAGAAACAGAATAAACATCATATATTTGGCCAGGCTTTTGCAAGAAAAAAAAAGATATATTACATTGAAAATTAATGTACCTCAAATATATTACATACAAAGTAAGACTCAGGTTTTTTATGTTATTTTTATTTTACGTGCATTGGTGTTTTGCCTACATGTGTATGTCTGTGTGAGGATGCTGGATCCCCTGGAACTGGAGTTACAGACAGTTGTGAACTGTCAAGTAGATGCTGGGAATTGAACCCAGGTCTTCTAGAAGAGCAGCCAATGCTCTGAACTGCTGAGTCATCTCTCAGCCCTGCGAAGATTCAGTTTTAAGCAATGCATTTTGAGTGGGTGGAGTCATGTGACTTGTGTCTGCCACCTCCTCACAGCCCTCACTAGGCCTGGGTTCCCATGTTGGCTCTCAGTGGTCAGTTTAGTACCACTCTGTGCTCTGCAGGAACCTGGACCAGGACCAACTATACAGCCTATCTCAGAGGCAGTGCAGGTGCCACACATCTCTGCACAGCCAGTGTGGTAATGTACCCACTTTGGTGTTCAGAGAAATCAATAAATCGAGGTTTTTGTCTTGAAGCTCTATGGCAAGGCTGATCTAGAAATGTTTTCTGTAAATTCCTGTTTATCAAAGATCTGGGCTTAGGCAGTTTTGGGTAGGTAGACATTATTATGGTCATGTAATATGAACTTGGGTTTGAAATCTCTGATACCAATGCAGAAAAGTTAACGCGCCCACAAGAAATCGAAGATTACATGTAAGGGAGGGGATGGATATGTCTGATGTCTAACATTACCTCAGACTTGTAAAGACTCCTTAAAATGACTCCCACTATTGGTCACTGTGCTAGATCGCTGGGATTTTAGATAATTATCTAAATTCACACATAAACTTGGTATTGTAAACTGTATTGTCATTCCAAAACACATTGTTCTATTGTAAGTGGTGTGTGCCCTTCCCAGTTACCATTTAATGTTGCAGAACTATATTTTCTGATGACCACTGAACAATCAATATATTTTCATTGTAAGACTGCTTAGCTATAGAAATTCCACTACTATACAAATTTCAACTTTGATGTTGCATGTTTCAGGTAATTTCCCTTAGAAATCAAGATTTCTTTTTACTCAAAATAAGTACTAATATAAAGAAACACCACCTTCAAGCAATGAGGACACCTTTACACAACATTTAACACTGGTACATTGACACTAATTTTGCTACTTTCTGGTAGTTCAGAAAGGATTGTAAATGACTTCCAAAATAGCCCCTTCACCGCCGGCTCAGCACAGCAGCCCGAGCACACCTGAGGCCTGGTAAGCACTCACAGAGTGAGCTCATAACAATTACTTAATGAAAACTCTGACATGTTAGAATAAGACACTAAATAACGTATTTACAGCTCAATGCCAATCACTCCATGTTCAAATGACACTTGAAATAAGTTTATCACATACTAGGGAGCCAGAGCCAAAAGGAGGCTTTAGACAGGCGACTGAGAAGCCACACAAGTGAAGGAGAAATGTCTGAAACGCCCGTGCTTCTGAAGTATCTGTCCCAGTGGCTGTCCAGACTCTACAGCATGGACACATTCACCAAGTGTCTCTGTCCATTCCTCACCAGGAATAAGGTTCTCTCTCCCAGCTCACAGAAACAAATCCTGAAAATAATCATCAAATTCTTCTTCCCTATTAAAAAAAGTACAAATATTGATTATAATCAAGAGTACTCAATAAAATTAAATTAAAAATATCAATAGAATAAAAAATTAAGTGATATACTATCTGAAACTAATGAAAATATTTTCATCTAGTCTATCAGCTATCACTCTGTATGCCAGTGTGCTTTCATAACTCAAATAATCCTTAGTCTCTAAACAATCATATCTGTGCTCAAAACTGTTAAAATTGGAATACGTCACATGCTGGTGCCTCTCTGCAAGCCCCTCAGTTTTCTCTGAAGTACTTGTGAACGATCCGATCACTGCTGCCCTCTGCTTCTCTGGCTGACTTTATACCGTCTCTGCTCACTACTTCAAATTATAATCTGCTTAAGAAATGCCTGAAACAAAAACTATGCCTAAAAAACAAACCACGGCTTACTCCCAGGAATGTGAGGACATCTGTTCAGGCTACAGTGCTTTATTAGTCTGAGAACAGTTGATGCTTATTTATAGTTAGCAGAGGTTATGTCTAAAAGAAGAACAGAGCTTTGAGGGAACACTGCATTCAGTATAACCTGTGAAATACAGTGAGAAGTCACGAGCGCTAAATAATGTTAGTGTTTGCGGCCAGCTTCAAGAAGCCAACAGCTCAGGCTTTGGAGTCAACACTGCAGTGGACACGTGCACTGGGTTATCTGTGATGGGAGGGAGACTGAGATGGCTGCCGGCAAGGAATCCCTACACCTGTGTAAATCTTTGAGGGGCTCCTCAGCGTGGGTTATGAGAATCGTAACACCATGGGACAGGCTGTCCTAGATGCAACTGAACAGCTGTCTCGGAAAGAATCCAAGCAAGAACAGAGGGCTGTCTGTTAAAGTCAACTGACCCAAAACAATGACTGGTAATAATAAACTTTCATCTTACCAGGAGAGGGAGACTTTGGCACTAAATAAACATTCATGGCATTAAATATTTTCATTAACTGCGATTAAGAACAGCAGTATCCACAGCCTCCTAAGCTGATGACGGAATGGAACATCTATGATCGACACTTACTGTGACTTTTCATCTGTCTCTGGCAGTGGACCCTTCCAGAGCTCAGAGTCTGAAGCACTGTTTTCCTCATCAGCGTTCCCTGCTCATTTAGAAGGAAATGACACTGATTTTAATATAACACATTTTGAGTCATTTACCAGTGCAATTAAATTAACTATGAATTTAACAGTAATTTAGTTTAGATTCCACAAAGTTTAACTTATTCCTCCAGATACAATAAATATTTAAAATTAAACAATATGAAAAATACCAGAGCCTCAGCCAAAAGGGCATGCAACTAATATGAACAACTTCACCATGTTACACTAAAGTAGCAGCGGAGTTAGTTATTTCCTTGATCATACAACAGAAATGAAATGAAGATTTTTGTAGAGAACATATATGTGTTAGAGCCTACACTCAAGAATAGCTTCTGTAGGCTCTGGGTCGTCATTGGAGAGGAGTCACTTACTGATGTAATTACATCATGGAACAGTTTGTCTGCCTGATACTACATTATCCAATATTGAATAAATTTAAGTTGAGCATTAGATGATTCATGTGAGGTCTATTTTATTATATTTTAAAAACAGGAATATATTATCTTTACTTATTTTAGAAGTAATACATACTGTCACTGTCTAAAATAAAAGTAATTTGGAAATGTTTAAAGTCCTAAGGAAAAGTTATCCCAAGCCACAAGTAATACAATCACTTTTTAAGTTTGGTTGGCCTTTATAAACTTATGGTGCATAAGTTTACAGGTATGTATATAACATTTACCTTTCTAAATTAACTGGTTTATACTGTGCATGATTTTGTAACTATAAAAGATTTGAGATAGCATAGACAGTTTTCCTTGACAATACATATAAATATGTCAAAGTTTTGATAATGACATTTTTCTAGAATTTATTTTTATTTTTAATGATGTATATGTATGAACAGGTGTTTGCAGGGGACTGAGGTGTCAGGTCTCCCAGTGAAGGTGCTGGGAACTGAACTTGGATCCTCTCCAAAACCAATGTGTGCTCTAACCACAGAGCCATCTATCTAGCCCCATGAAAACTTGAAACAAACAAACATCAAAACAAAAAGTTATATAGAATTTGATTAAACTGATCATTAATTCCTGATTGGTGGGGATTTAAGCTGTTTCTCATTTTTATTTTTATTGGGGTGAGGGTGAGGATCAGTCTGGTGATTAAACTCAGGGTCTTAAACATGCTGGGAATGGCTCCACAGTGGGCACACAGTCCAGCCAAGCTCTTTTTCTTGTTGAACAGTGTGCATTTCTGTCCATGTTTATCTGAGGTGCTTATCTATTCCAAATAAAATATCAAATTCCAAAAGCAGCATCACTGGCCACCACACGTGCTCTAAACCCAGTTACAGGGCCATGTTTTCCTCCAGAAGAAAGGTTATACAGTTTCCAGTCTTCCCAACAATGTCTGAGAAGGCCTCTTCTTCTCAGAATAAGGTTTTCTAATTAGAGTAATAAGCATTATTTTTACAAAATGTCTGATACTTTTCAAATGTAACAGCACAGTCTCATACAGAAGCTTAGTTCTTGGTGTGCTCATCCTAACACAGTGTGCTCTTTACAAACCTCAACTTACACAACTTCATATGACTGAAGAAAAGATGCTAAATCAAGAATGACGTAATAAGAGGTAATAATTCTCTTGTAGAATTACCACTAGAGTTCTGACTTAACTCAGATTTGGCTTGCCAGTACAGAATGTCCCTCAGTTCAGCACAGAACAAAAATAAAGCCAGATTGATTTGCCACGGTGGTTCTAGCCTTTTACCTGCTGGACTCTGATCCTTGAATCAATGTGTATGCCTGAACTTTGATCCTATCTGAACCTGTTGTGGCACCAACTTTAACAAATAGCAGGGGGAGGGTGCTGTCTAATGAGCTATGTACACATGATGATGAAACTACGAGTCTTGGAGGAAGACTCCTGCTCTGTGTCAGCCATCACCACAGTTCCCAGTGTCCTGAACTGACAACACAAGAAAAAATAAAATCTTCCACTTGATGAGATAAGAAAAAACAGGAAACCCAATTATGCCTAATGAAGTTATCTGTATGGCATTACTGTTGAGATGTCAGAAAACAGAACCTACATAGCCTTTAAAAACCAGCAGCTGATTGTAAAGTCTTACACTGCAAACAGCTCTAGTGTTCGCTCTAGTCAGCTTTCCTACACTAATTTCCTTTGTATGAGTGTATTTGTCTATGTGTGTGGTGTGCATAGGTACAGTGTGTGCATGTATACATGGAGGACAAAGGTCAACTTCTAATGTTGTTCCTTGGGTGTTGTCCACAGAAGGGGTCTTTCACTGGCCCTGAACTCACTAAACAAGTGAGGCTGCCTATAAGAACCCAGAGGTCTGCCTGTCTCCACCTCCCCAGCACTAGGATTGAAAATGCGTGTAACCATATCTGGACCACTTACTGTACACTTATTTTTATATGTGTGCATGCAGGGGTGCACATGCAGGAAACAGTATGGAAGCTAGACAAGAAGCTATGGAAGTCAGTTCTATTCCACCCACGAGGGTTCAGGGATTAAACTGTCAAGTTTGGTGGCAAGCACCTTCACCCACTGAGTCGACCTTGGCCCAGTTCAGTGTCTCTTGCTTTCATGGAAGCACTGTCCCAAATGGACTACTGCCCCAGCCCATCAGTACATCAATTTTCTTATACCAGATAATGTAATTTTACCTTTAAAAAGTTAAATCATCTTAAAATAAATCCCTTTGACAGAGTATCCATTGGCAAAGTGGCCAAATTACCTCAGAGACTCAAATCTATAGGAATAGACTAAATGATCTATAACATTCCTTCCACCCTACGAGTCTAAAACTTCCTGATTCCCTGAGGGTGAGTGTCACTACAAACAGTTACAACTACAACCATTGCCAGGGGTGAGCAAAGAGTACCACTAAGGAATGACAGGTCAATACACAACGATCCCCCTATAGCTTCACTGTCAAGTCTGCAGTAATTATGGGCAAGAATTAGTTCTTTTCTTCTCTCCACTCTTATGTGTGTGATGTAATAGGAACATGGCACAATGCATGTGTGCAGGTCAGAGGACACGTGAATCTCAGGGATCAAATCAGGTCATCAGGCTTGCCAGCAACAGCCTGTATCTGCTGAGCCACAGCCTATTGCGCTGCTGGTCTCTGTGGGTCTGCTCATCCAACTCTGCCTGCAAAATGAACCCAGTCACTGTGACACTTCCAGTAACAAGTAGCATCCAATTTGTCTCCTGAGACAGTTCACTTCCATTTGTCAGAGAATGCCAAGAGACAGTTTTCCTTAAATTAAGGACAAAATGTGTTTTCAGGCTCTTTTTATCTACAGACTCACGTTTCACGAACCAATCACCAAACGCACATCTCCCATCGAGTAAGCGCCTCCAAACACCTCCAGGTTGTACGTCCTCACCCTCATGCTCACCTCCTCTATTCCTCCACCTTTCTCCAAACTAAACATCCGCAGTTCGGCAGCATTCATCCCGCGGCACAATTTCAGGTCTCTGATATACCGGCTGCTCTGGGTTTGATCTGCTTCAGCCTTTGAAGCTCTCCCTAGTGTGTGTGCTTAAATACTTTGGGTTTTCCCAAATGCTTTTGCATTTTGTGGATATTCTACAATAACTAAAAACTCACTCGACTGAAGAACAGTAAACATCTCTAATAATCATAGTAAATGGACGGGTATTAACTTTTGATCTGATCAATTCAGAGAGTAAATACAGACTGTTTAATGTCTGCCATTGCAACAGAGCCACAACAGTTATCAAGGACTTCCTTTGTGTGAGACAGACTTTTTGTATATATCTTCTCTTTTGACAATAATTCAATAAAGCTGGCCTGGGCTATTTATACCCATTCTACAAAAGAAGCAAGACATGGACAAATTAATCATTTAAGATCTATCTATATCTATCTGTGTCTTCTCTCTCTCTCTCTCATATATATATATGCAATAGGCTTCCATTTGACTCCTCAATAGTGAACAGCTATTTAAAGTAAGAGAAAAAAAGCACGGAGCTGGGGATTATAAACTTGTATCTAAGCCCATCTCTGACATTAACTATCCAGCCTTGAATAATTTCCTTGAGCCCTCTGGTTCTCAGGGCATCCACTGAATAACCAAGAGCCTGTAATTCTAGAGATTTGGGAGAGTGAGACACGAGGATTATAAAGTCAAGAAGAGCTTGAACTTATCTCAAAATAAATATGTACATTAAATTTTAAATAATAAAAATAGTATCTTTTAAAACCAGAGAGAGGGCAGCAGTGGCGAGGTGGCTCAGTAGCGAGAAGTGCATACTGCTCTTCCAGAGAGCCTGTGATTGGCTTCCATCAGCCACGGGCAGCAGCGCACCAGTGTACAAGTGCAGCTCCAAGGGAGCCAGTGCCCGTGTCTGCACTTCAATGGCACCTGCACTAAACTAGATGCGCTCACATACATTATTTAAAAATAATAAAAATAAACCTTTATAATTTAAAACATAAAAGTAGGGTTTTTTCCTACCACAGACAGAAGTTTAAAAAATACTTTTCTAATACAACAGGAGATTCTTCTCTCAAAGCTGCCAGGAAAAACTAACTAAGCACTACGGTCCCTGTATTATTTCAAAAGGGCATTAGTCATTCTGCTCTGCCTGTGGGGAGAACAGCGACAGTCATGTGATGCGCTTTGGTAAAGGAATACATCTTTATATTATCTTTATATTACGATTCCACCTTGTTTCCCAGTACTCCTAGATCACTAATGTTAAAACAACCTGTGTACTTTTGTAAGTCGTTGTGAAAACTGGGGGGAGCATTTCGTGGGAAATATAGACTTTGTAGCAATCCTTCAGTAAAATCAGTGTTTGCAAAGAAGTGGTGAATGTAAGACTGAAAAGTACCGTTCAGAGCAAGAGCTTCTCACATGGGAGCCACACTCCATGTGTCCAGTCCAAAGCAGCGCAGGCATCAGACTCCTGCACAGAATGGACGCTGCTTTCTTTAAATCCTACCCGCTTCCCTTCCCCAGCCCAGCCTTGCCCTACTTCCCTTCCTGTGCATCATACAGTGTGAAACTGAAATATACATTCACCGTGCTTACTGAAAAACACTTCTCATGTTTTCTATGTAAGACTTTTAATTGTAAAAAAGTAGAGTTTACAATAAAATTATAAAAAGTAAATAAATACTTACTTTTTGTCCTTTATGATTCTTCTCATGTTATACAAAAACAAATATAATTTGCATCATTGCAGGATACAAATAAAAAAGCTATATTACAAGTTCTTTGAATCTCTATATTTCTATTGATAAAGAAATGCTTGGTACTTACTATTTCTAGAATCTTCTGACCTCTTTGAGGATGAATGTCCTGAAAAGAAAACAACAATGTCTTACCAAGCATCATCTCTGGGTGGTGTGGATAGTTGTAGCTAAAGCTATAAATTCTTCACAAATGTTCCTATGTTCTCAAAAAAAAAAAAAAAAAAAAGGCGTTTACTATTTTCAGGTCCCTTAGCTTTATCTCCTCTGTCGTTTTAGATAGTGAGCATCTTATCGGTTCACAGAGCCTGAGACAGCTGATAGCTAACATAAAACTTAAAAACTGAAAGCCTATGAAAATCTTACATGGCTTACACAACAATTTACAGGTTACAAGTAATACTGATGACAATAACGACAGCAACAATAATAAATTCCCTTTACTTTGTAGAGAGGCTCAGCCCCTCCACTGAACAGTGTAAAGAAATTCATTTTCCAGACTTTTTTCAAGGTCATATACAAGTAGAAATGGAGGCTGTGGGGAGGTAGGGCTTCTTCCTTCCCTATAGCATGCTAAACAAGTGCTCTACTGCTAAGCCACATTCCTACCCAACCTTGTCCACAATCATATGCAGCTGTTAAGGCATCATTTTGTCAAAAAAATCAAAACTTCCATCTCTGCAGTAGTTATTGAGGGAGACAAAAAGCAAAAAGTACAGAACATTTATTTGTATATAAATTATACAGTAATAAATTGTATTACATATTTATAGATTTTTATATTTGCATGTGTATTATAATAAATTTTATACATATTTATATTAATATATTTATATTACTTATATTATATTTATATACTTAAATAATATGCTCATATTTAATTATATTAATTAAATTATATTTATACAACTGAACATTATAAATTTTTATAACTAAATAACGTGTGTTTGTGTATGTGTGTGTGTTTTAAAGACAGGGTCTCACTGTGTAGCACTGGTTGTCCTGGAACTTGCTTTGTAGACCAGGCTGGCCTCAAACTCACAGAGCTCTGCCTGCCAATACCTCCCAAGTGTTAGGATTAAAGGCTTGTGCCACCACCACCAGGATGTATATATATTTATATCTCCACTCTAAAGAGCCCTCAGGAGAGAGATTTCTGGAGGGTGGAAAAAATAAAAAGTACAGGTGACAAAATAGCCCCCCCAACAAAACTGGATGAGAGGCTGAGAAGCCTGTTTTAGTTTCTCAGAGGCCAAAGGGGATACAAGAAGTTCAGGTGTTCAGTGGGCTTTTAAAAAGGTGGGTGGAGAGCTGGAGAGATGGCTCAGCAGCTAAGAGCACTGACTGCTCTTCCAGAGGTCCTGAGTTCAATTCCAGCAACTACTTGGTGGCTCACAAGCATCTGTAACAGGATCTGATATCCTCTTCTGGTGTATCTGAAGACAGCTACAGTGTACTCAGATAAATAAAATAAATACATCTCAAAAAGTAAGTGGAAAGGTTAGGGTTACTCTGCAAACCCACTGACATAAGTAGAATCAAAGTGAGAAGGTGTAGGTTGTCAAGGGAAACCTGCTAGTACCATCTGACATATGAAGGTTACTGTGGGTGGGAGTGGGTTCCTCTTCCATGAAATCCTGAAGTAGTCAGAACAACCACATGCCACAAGGCAGAGGCTCTTGCACACTTGTCTGTGTGTGAGGACCCACAAATCACAGCGGCCTCAGACAGAAACTTCAGACCAATTTACAGCTGATCACAACAGAGCACCATAGTTTAAAAAGCAAAACACTACAACATCTTTTTGGTTATGTTTAGGATTAATTTCTGGAGTTTCTTCAACTGTGAGAAAAATGAGTGAATTCACTGATTCCACTCACTAATATCTACTAAATAAATGCCTATGGTCTTAGGAATTGGGGGTGAGCTAAACAGCTATGTAATCCCTTCTCTCACAGAAAATAAATTATTTCAAGGGTCCTGTGCATCTCCAAACAAGTACAGGCTACTCTCAGGATGTATACTGGGGACCTAGGTTGGGGAAGTGAGATAGACATTGTTAAGAAGGGCCTTTCCGACTGAGCTGAAGTGAACTGTGAAGGGTAGGGCTGCTCAAAGGGAAATGGGGAGAGAAGATATTGAACATTTGTCCAAGAGAGTGTATCTGTATCCAAGTATTTAGTTCTTCCTTTCTTGCAAAAGCAAACTGCTCTTCAAATGGAAGCTATTAGCCTTAGTTTTCTCTCTACACATTCATTCTGCATGTGGCACTCAGTTGTCCACTCAGTCATTCACTTACTTAGAACTTTCTATGGCCGTAACAATGAAGCTATAGAGTACATAGTCTCACATACGGGGACAGGGGATGTCTAGGGATAAAACCAGGAGTGCCAACTGTCCAAATGTTTAGTCATTATTAAAGGTTATTCCAAATTAAGAAGGTCTAGGCAGAGATGAGCTCTTCCTTAATTTACAATAAGCCATGATTACATGGTATGATTACAGTAAGAAGATAACAATATATTTATTCAATAGTGGATATAACCAAAATTTTAAATGCCATATTACTGTTTAAGCATATTAGAATAAATACAAATTTTTAAACTCAGATGAGATTTTCCACTTATTGAGACTTATTTTGGAGTTAGGAATTAAGATAGACATGAAAAGGCTTTCAGCTTCAAATGCCAGCAATAGAATACATGTCTAAACAATAGAATAACATGTCTACTAACCACCCATCCCAATTCAGTGATACTCTGTACTATATACTTGAACTGCATGGCCATTGTGATACACAAGAAGGAAAAAAGAAATTGCATAGAAGAATGTACCTGAGCCAACTATCTTCCTATCTAGAGCAAGGGGGCCCTCTCCTGTCCAGATCTTATATTAACATTGGGTTAGATTCAGTAGAAGTTAGAGCTGATTACCTCCTGGTGTGAAACAGTAACTAGAAGTAACCTTCTTAATAGTTAATTACATGATGAGGATTAGTCAAATTGCTATAAACTATTTCAATTTTTTTCATAATCCTGTAAGACAGCTACTGTAATCAAGATTTTAGATTGAATGACAGACTGTAAAACTGCTTGACAGTTCTCAGAAAGCCTTCAAGTTTTCATCTGACTCTTGATGAATATGCAGGTAAGTGTTCACATTATCCCTGCATACATGCAGAAGGTAAGCTCCAGAGAGTCAGTGTCCTATCCAAGTGACAAAGCTTGGATACAGCCAGGAATTGAACACTGTTTGCAGTATTATATAATACTATAGTATATGCCCAAAAGGAACCAAAACCAATTCTGTTCTTAAAACTGCTATAAGTGACTATAAATTCACTTCTGAATTCCTGACCACTTTCCTTTCAGCTACTCTCAAGCAGCTCTAACGGCATCCCTAGCAGGATACTGGTCAGCGCTGCAGCCGACTGTGTCTTATCTCAGAGTGAGGAGATCTTATTCCTCCTTTACCTTCATCCTTCCCCCTGGAAGCTTCCTCTGAAGAGGATGATCTGGATTTCTTACGAGGTGACTCGTCGCACTCAGTCTTGGTTTTAGACTTCCTTTTTGTTGACTTGATTTCTTTTCTCCTTTATGTTAAAAAATATAATATTAAAGTTAATTTTTTTAAAGATTTTATAAAAAACAATATCCGAACTAAAGAAAATAGTTAAAGTACAAATAATTTATATAATAAGGAACCTTGAAAGAATATGTAATTTTTTAAAATTTTTTTATTTTTTTGAGATATGGTATCTCCACGTAACCTTAGTTGTACTGAAACTTACTCTGCAGACCAGGCTGGACTCAAACTCACAGAGATCCACCTGTATCTGTCTCCAGAGTGCTGGGAGTAAAGGTGTGTGCCACCATCAGGCTAGAGTATGCAAATATTTTAGGTCAATATATAAATTAAAGTAATTCTGTAAGATGATAAAGCCTAAACAGACACAAAGCTATTCTGTAAATTTTCTACACAAACAGTAAACTGTTTCTGTCCACTCCCTTTCCCAGCACGTAACTCATATTCACTGAGCACTGAGAAGCATGTGCTGTGATGGATCGAACCCACAGTGAGAGGCTGCTCTCCTGTCAGAGTGAAGACTACAGCAAACACAGCCAGGAAGGGAGAGAGAAAGTGCTTACTTAAAAGTTAGCACTCAGATGTCAACGCTAGACAACCTCTAATTTACCTTTTTATTGTTGGGCTTTACCTCCTCTAGGCCAGATTTATAATAGTACATCTATTGGTCAGTACAACAGGTGAAAAGCAATTAATCTTAATTGCTTAAGAAAAGAAACATGGGCCGGGCAGTGGTGGCGCACGCCTTTAATCCCATCACTTGGGAGGCAGAGGCAGGCAGATTTCTGAGTTCGAGGCCAGCCTGGTCTACAGAGTGAGTTCTAGGACAGTGAGGGAAACCCTGTCTCGAAAAAAACAAAAAAACAAAAAAAAAAAGAAAAAAAGAAAAAAGAAACATGGGAAAACTCTCTTAAGTATTTGTTCGACAGACTTCTGGTTAAGATACCCATGCTGATGCTACCATGCTGGCACAGTAGTTAATCATATTTGTTCTTTAATGTCATTTCAATTTTGAAATGACACTCAAAAGGGAAAGTCACAAAATACCTTCAGTCTCTCAGCATCACTGACAGAAAGAGGAAATTAAAGTTTGGGCTGGCCATTCTAGTAACATAAAAACTCCTGCTTGTTTTGAAAATGCATTCTTTATTTGTAGTAGCTAAAACACAATGCAGACATGCTTACACTAAAACTTAATAAGCCAGGTGCTGGCATATACCTATAACCCCAGCACTCAAGAGGCTGAGACAGGAGAATCACAAATTTGAGGCTAGCCTCAGAAGCATTATGAATTGAAGGCAGTCTTCCTCAAAAACAAAACAAAATAACAAAACAAAACAAAAAAAGAAGCAAAATACAAACTAAAACCAAGGCCAATGACCTTACATGAACTGCATGGTGCAGGCCAGTGGTACTCCTAACTCACTTAACATAGCAGACATATTCCAGATGACTTAACAGGAGACTGACTTTACCAATGTCACTTTTATCACTGAGAAACTCTAGATAAAAGTCTATTTAACCCAGCACTTGGGAGGCAGAGACAGGCAGATCTCTGTGAGTTAGAGGCCAGCCTGGCCTACAGAGTGAGTTCTGGGATAGCCAGGGCTACAAAGAGAAACCCTGACTTGAAAAACAAAACAACAAAAGTCTGTTTAAAAGTCACAAGAAGGACTGGAGAAATGGTTCAGTAGGTAAGAGAGTCTGCAATGCAAACACGAGGAATTGAATCTGAATCCCAAGAATCCACATAAATGCCAGATGTGACCACATTTACCAACAATCTTGGTGCTTAGGGGCAGGAAGGTGGAGACCAGAGACAATAGCATTGCTGTGGCTTACCAGTCAGACTAGTCAATGGCAAGCTCCAGGTTTAAGCAGAGACCTCAACTAAAGTGAGTAATGGCGAAAAAGTTAGAGAGCACAACACTCAGTGTCCTCCTTTAGCTTCCCAAGAGACACGTGGGCACGCAGGTACACAGGCATGCACACATGCTCCATTTTATGCAGTCAGCTTTATAACATTGTTTCTAGGACTATTATAGTCTGGCTATTGGCTCCAAATTAACAACAGGGATTGCCCTACATAGACCTTCAAATAGAAACTTGTTTGGCTTGATCAGGGCAGAGTGAATCTCCAATTTCACGGATCATACAATGAGGGTCTATTTTCTAAACAAATCCACTTTCCAAATTGAGATTTAGACACTCAGTGTGATAAAATGAGTATGGCCTAGGTTACTAAACATTAAAAATGATATTTTAAAAGAAAAAAATTACCTGTGATGAAAATTTAATTTAAAGGAACATTCTTGACATAATCCTAAAAGAGAAAAAAATATACCACTGAGCTTCTGAATCTGTGTAATTATATTGCTACTCTAACTATATATTCTCATGTTCTTTATATCCCTACTATACACAGGAAATAATATAAAGAAAATAATCTAATAATATATTTCAAAATTATATTACAATATTTGATGATTAAAAATATTTTACAATGCTTTGTTTTAAATTATTTTCATACAATATATTTGATCATATTCTTTCCCCTCCCTCAGTTCCTCCAAGGTCCCCCTTCCCTACCTACTCCACTTCATATTTTCTCTCTCTTTTGAAAAAAAAACCTATCCCTCCATTAACGAAAACTTATTTTTCCCTTTCCCAGCAGCTACCAATCACAAACTGCTTCATGGTTAGGGGTAGGACTTTGTACCCATTGTCCCATGTCAGTGCTGGGAGTCTAGCTGGTTTGAACTTGTGGTGGTCTTCTATATGCTCTTTGTGAGTTCATATATGTATCAGACCTGTTATATCAGGAAATGCTGTTTTAAAGGTATTTTAGAAAAAGTTTTATCCATTGTGTTTCATAGGCAAAACTAGTATCTGACATCAAAGATCTCTCTTCATATGACAATATGATGTAATAATGTGTATATAATAATGATAATGATTATTATTATTTGGGTATAGTCATCTTCTCTGAAGTGTTCAAGACTTTCAAGTAAACAGAGAATCTTCAAATACTTCCACTATAAACACTTCTTTCTTTTCCCTAGTCTCATTCCAAACTGGCTGACTTTTCCAGACAGGTGCTTCTAAGAGGAACTCACAGGAACCAGTCTGTGCTATCAAGAGTACACTGAAAACGCTGAAGATTTATTATGGAGCCAGAAAAGCTGATAGTCATAAAAGTAAGGAAGGAGGGAAGCAACTGAGAGGTGAAAATTAATTTTAAAAAAGAACAGTGCAACACTGTAAACCATGGCTATAGGAAACTGCTGTCTGCTGGTGAGCTCCAGGTTCAGCAAGAGACCTGGTCTTAAGTGAGCAGTGCTGAGAAACTCAGAGTTTCTCCACTCAAAGTAATGCTTATCTCTAATCTTTTTCTTTCTTTTTAAAAGTTGTATGTATGAGTGTTTTGTCTACACACAAGCCATGTGCATATAGGCTGACTGTGGAGGCCAGAAGAGGGCACTGGATCTCCTGGAACTGGAGTTACAGATAGCTGTGAGTCATCATGTGGCTACAGGAATCAAACCTGGGTCACCTGGAAGAGCAGCCTTTGAGCCATCTCTCCAGTCCCTCTACACTGTTTCCTAATTACATTTATTTTGTGGCAAGGGGATGTGCATGTGCCACAGTGAGTGTGGTGAGTGGATGGAGGTCTGAGGACAGTTTACAGAGTCAATTGTCTCCTTCTACCTTGTGGGCTCTAAGGAATAAATTCAAGTTGTCAAGCTTGGTAGCAGGTGCCTTACCCACTGAGACATGTCACTAGCCCATCTCTATACTTTTATACAATACTGACTAGTGCTACTGCTGCCAATCAGAACCAGACGATAAGGCTCTACTGAAGATAGCATATGCTTTGCTTGTGTGAGAAACAGCTGAAATGGAGCTGAAGCGTCCTCTCTTAGAGGCTTTCACAGTGCCGGAAGGTACAGTGCAGATTGCTCTGGGAGAGTTGTCATCAATGGTCTTACTCAGCTGTGACTCTTTCATGCTACACAACCCATCTCTCTGGCAGGACGTATTCACTGGTGTGACACTGGCATGACTGTTATGGGATAACCAACTGATATGGGATGGTATTCAAGGCTCACTCTACAGGAGGAAATCCACATGAAGTACTAGAAATCTTACTCTAAGTCTGGTCATGGCTTGTGGCTGGTCCTAGTAGGAAAGCTACTGCCATTGTTTTCCTAAATAGTGTGGTGTGCTTGTCAAATCATCTCCTAATCACCTAGAATGGTGCTATGCTCACCTGTTTTGCAGTGGGAGACAATTATGAGTGCAGTTATGAGTGCAGATACTCATAACTGGCCCAGCTCTTAATAGGGCACCTATATTAGAACCTCCAAGGCTTGGGGAACATCTCCAATGAGAAAGCAGAAAAAAGAAGACCCAGAGGTTGCACAGTGTATTGTATAACTCTGTCCTCTGAGCATGACGTAACTACTACAGCCTTTTACTCTCAGCAGCAGTGATTACTTGTTTAAGACCTTCACACTATTAGATGCATGAACATTCCATCATTGTGGAGTTGGGGGAGGCTCATGAGGCTCTGTACTCGTGAAGATTTCTTCAGAGGTGTAGCAACTGGTACACCTGTACCAGTTACATGGGAATCCCTCACCATGTAAGTAACCCTAACTACACTTATTGAGTCACACATACACACAAACACATAAACACACACACATACACACAAACAGGAGGACTAATGAGGAAGAAAAAGGGGATCAGTCAGTGTGTGAGGGGACAAGAGAGAGTAAATGAGCATATGTATGTATGTATGTATGTATGTATGTATATATATGCATGAATTATTAAGTAAAATATATTCTTACTTAAGTAAAAACTTTTTTAAAAGGATACTTTCCCAAAATTTTCACTCACTGTCAAAACGAAAACGTATTTATTGCCTATACCACACTATGGCTACACAATCGGACGTAAGGTATACACCACCTTTTCTGATACTGTTACTTAAACTCCTAATCTAGTGCCATCCTTAGGCTTGTGACAGCTTTGACTCTACAAGCTCCCAGCTGAGACTGAACATTAGAATTGTCTTATCAAAGGGCTTCCATAATGCCAAAGACTCTAGGTTCAAAATTTATTTGAGGTTTGGGGAAACTACAGGGAAAAAGAATACTATCAGGAAAATATACCCAATCTTTTAAAATTAAATAGTACATACATTTTTCAATTCTAAATTCAAGGTAAACTTGGAAGAAATCAACTGTATCTCCTGAACACGACTTACGTAATTTAACAAGAGCGTTTCTCTTTTCACCGTGCTCAGTGTAGCCAAAGTTGACTTCCCAGCTCTTCAAGCCTTCTTTTTCATCACAACATTTATTTCCACAAAAAAACTGGCCTGCAAAAGAAAAGGACTGTCACCCACAGTACACCATAGGATTCACCCACAAACCTATTACCTCTAAAATTTTCTTCCAGAAATTATAAAATAAGTATAATAAATTAAATACAAATTCAGCATGAAAAATAATGACCACAATAATTACAACATGCATGTATCAAAATATGAAATCAAAGAGATGCTTTTTTTTTCTTTTGCAGTGAGAACTGAACCCAGGATCTTGTGCATGCAAAGTATTTGTTTTACCATTAAGCCACATCCCAGCGCTTTAAAAAACAACAACAACAACAACAGAATCCTATTATTACTTCTTGCTTGCTACATTGCCTAAGCTGGCCTAGAACTTTCTCTAAAGGTCAGGACTGAATTTGTAGACATCCCCAGGGTAGCTAGGACCATAAGACTGTGCCACCAGACCTGGCTAAAGAGCTGAACTCTTAAACAGTCACACAATTCCTGTTGGTAAACTGTTTATTTAAGTAGAATTTTAATGAGTCCATATTAGAGAATCTTACACTTTAGAAAGTGAAAATATTTAAGTGTACTAACTAAAGCCCTGAAAGAGATCATTTCCCAAAATACAAGCTCTTAGATGTGAATCCTTTCAGTATTTAACTACATTTTAAGATTAACATTTTCAAGTATATCATTTACTTAAAATTCTAGCTAAAAACTTCTAAGGACAAAAAAAAAATGATTTGGACGTGAAAGGACAACTTGAAACTCTATTTTGGCAGAAAAAGTGAAAGTAAAAATGATTTATACAAAGAACAATTCCCACCACAATAATTTGCACCAAGAGTAACAAATAGAAACCATGAATTCCTTTTCATAAAATGCAAAAGACTGCCAAAATGAAACTCTAACATCAGCATTCAAAAGGCTAATTTGTAACTCAGTGTATTGAAACAGGATGTGCTCCAGACTAATCTCAAACTTACCATGTAGCAGAGGATGACTTGAACTTAAAACATATTTTTGCATGTATGTATGTATGTATGTATGTATGTATGTATGTATGTATCCATCTATCATCTATCTATCTAGTGTGTGTGTATACATACATGTCATGCCATGAACTCTGTAAGGAAGGAAGTCACAGAATGTACAAGTCATCTCAAATGAAGAGCTAATTAATGAAGCACACGTTTAGCACGTTTAGTAATGTCTGTTAAACAGCAATCACAACATTCTGTTTTAACAGAACAACAACTTGGTCTCTGCTTCCCTGTTGGGAGCCGACTCCTAGCCGAAAGCGGCTGTCATCTTTGCAGTCATCTCAGGCCGTATACCCTGACAAGAGACTTGTTTTCAACAGCCTACAACAGCTGAGCACACTCTGATAAACATCATGTTTTTCTCTCATATCTTGTTTTGTTGTTTATTGCCCCCAGCTGCAAGGCTCACGTGGTAAAGTGTCTTCAGCTGTGTTCCCCTGCTTGTGCTTATATATACCCAGGATTTCCTTTCAATAAATGGGACTTGAACAGACTCTCTGTCTTGTCTCCATTCTTCACGTCTCTTGCCTCTCCATCCCAACTCTCTCTCTTGCTAGACCCTGACCCATGGACCAGGGCAGCAGCTCGGGCTGGGACACTTCCCCACTAGTCCTATATTCATTTAAGACTTAGAGAATGTCTGTCATTTATTCTCCTAAAAATTTCACTTGACAAAATACAGACATTTTTATTAGTGACATTTCAGATTTCTCATAATTTTAGGTAAATATACAATTATACAGAATAAAACATGACCTTAAGAAAACTTCTGAATTGCCTTATTTTTTAAAATGTTTACTTAGCTGAGGGGTGGGAGAGTAGGGGGATAGGGAGCTGGGGATGGTGGTGACAGTGGTGTCCACCTTTAGTTCCAGTACTCAGGAGGCAGAGGCAGGAGGATCTCAAGTTTCTGCCCAGCTTCATTCACAGATCAAGTTCCAGGACAGCCATGGCTACATGGAAAAATCCTGTCTTGAAAAACAAAACCCAAAAAGTGCATTTAATATTGTGTGTGTATGGCATGTGTGTGTGTGTGCACACACACACGTGCATGTGCATGGCATGCATGTGGAGATCAGAGGACAATTCTGTTGAATGTGTTCTCTCCTTCAACTCTTCCAGAAATTGAAATGAAGTTGCTAGGCTGGTGTGGCAAGTGTCCTTATCCACTGACCACCTCACTGACCCGAGAGCTGCTTTAAATTCATTTTCTTTCTTCCTCCTCGACAGTGCCTTCATCTTTCACAGAAAACATCCCTACCATTTATATATGTGCATGTTAGGCATGGTGCTGGGAAAGGTCAGAAGAGAGCTTCTGATCCCCTGGAACTGGAGTGCCCCTGACCACCCTGAATGTTTGATGTTTTGATATTAGATTAAATATTTGAGTTCAACCTAGAATTAGTCTGTACAAAACTTTTATTGGGTTCACGTATGATACTTCTACTTTCAAAATATTGATTTTTGTTGGAATATAGTACTATTAATATTTTATTATAATTGGTAATCAAGCACTCACTTGTTCCTTGTTATTAAATCTTTAATTCTTATAACATTGTCCATATATCCTCAAATATTCTAAGGACCAAATTCTAAAGAAGTCATGAAAGCACTGAATTCTGATCTTTGCTAATAATATATTTATCAGAAATACAGTTTCCCCAAACTTTATTTTTATAGATAATAATTTATTGTCTATAAGCAGGAAAAATCTCACCCAATGATTTCAATTCTATATAACAAAATAAACTGTGTTCTATTAGAAAGTAAAATTTTTTAAAAGTTACCTTTTCCTGAAATTACTTCTTTTTCTATTCGCCACCTAAATCCAAACTGGTAAAAAAACAAAACAAAACAAAAACAAAAAAAGTACATTTATATAAAAATAAATGTAAATATAAAATTTAAATTAATATATGTACAAATCTAAACACAAACCCAAGGATGATAACATTTTCAGCCTGAAAAATAGATTTAATTATCAGTGTGATGACTTTTTCTCTTTTTATAGGAACTTAAGGATATCTCCCAACAATTAACAACTTCTGTTAAAAATGACTTTTAAAGCTACCTAAAAGCTACAGGAGTTGAGCCAGGATAACATCTGCATTTATAGTCTATGTGTAGTATACAGTATTAACAAGAACAGGGGACTGTGGTTATGGGCAAGAGTATTACTTCAACATGTTAACCCTGAGAATCAGCGAACTAAGAAAGAATTCAGGGGGCTGGAGAGATGGCTCAGAGTGTAAGAGCACTGGGTGCTATTGCAGATGATCAGGCTCAACTCCCAGCAGCCATGTGGTGGCTACCTGTAACTCTAGCTCAGGGAATCTGACACCTTCCTGCCTCCATAGGTACTGTACACATGTGATACACAGATATACATGCAGGCAAAAGAGCCATGCACATTTTTTTAAAGGGGAAAAATATAAATAATTCAGATAAAGTATTCAATTTCTTGTTAACATTCAAGTTTAAGTTTTTAGTCATTTATTTCTTAATTTGTCAAATTTATCTTAAATTCATATAAAGATTCAAAAAATGTCAACATTCTAGTCAAAATATAAATAAAAATAAAATTCTCCAAGTCTATGGGGAAAAAAAGTAGAATAAATAAGTATCAAAAAAAGAAGTAAAACTTGTAAAATTACTCCCTTTCATTTTATGCTTAAGTTTCTATCAGTGTGTAGAGATTACATGCCATTCCACACTGTCTTGAAGTGTCTGCTGAAGCACAAAGTCAACTGTATTACTAGCAAGAGTTTTCCGAACCTTTTCTTTCATTCACTAATCTATTTACCAAATATACCTGTTAAGCAACTACTTATTGGACTTGTATTTCAAATGAGAATAACAGGTAATTATTAAAATAATGTCAAATCTTTGAAAACAAAATGGGACCGAAGAAATGGCCCAGCTGTTTAAGAGCACTCAGTGCTGCTGCAGAAGACCAGGGTTCGGCTGCCAAGATCCATAGACTGGATCATAGCCAACTCCTCCTCCACAACTGGGGCCTCTGACATTCTCTTCTGGTCTCCACAGGCACAATACACCATGCAGTACTCATACACACGCAGGCAAACATCATACACATAAAACAAAAATAAATAAATCTTTACAGGGCAATATCCATCATGAAAAAAGCTATAATCTTATGGGGAATAAGAAACTACACTGTGTCACACATGACTTCTGTATCCTTATATCCTTTCCCAACCCCAGTTCTTCTCACGGGATTCAACCTGTAGTTACTCAAGGCTTGGTCCTGAATCCTGATGCTTCCTGCAACACAGATCTTGTCTACTTGGACTTTTGGAAAAGAAAAATAGCCTTTGGCTCATTGCAGGAAGTGTTCTTCCTTTTTTCTTATCCCACCTTTTCCTTGTGGCTGAATCTAATTCTAGTTGAAAGATGAACTCAAATACAGTCTTAAATATGAAAAGTTTTCAAAGAAAGGAACAGGAACACAGAGCAAAGGAAGAGTCACTAGACATGCCTTAAGTATCTACTATGTAGAGTAGGCACTGATTAATTAATTAACTAAGAGCTGCTTAATTAAAGTGAATAAAGTTCTATCTGTATAAACAAAGCTAAGAGAAAATGCATTCTAACTCTGGAAGCATGATGTGAGCTAAACTTTCCCTAACACATCAAACATGGTATGCTAGAACAGAGATATTATATGTCCCAAATACACCCCCTCTGAACTTCCTATTTTCTCATTTCCACACTCAAACTCAAGTCATATTTGACCTATTATCGTTTCACATGCAGTTACCATGTTCCAACAAAACACAACTTCTATCAAAATTATTCTCCTTAAGATAGTCACATGAGTGCATGCATATACGTGTATGGGGCCAGAAGAGAGAGAGCCAGAAGAGAGAGAGAGCCAGAAGAGAGAGAGCCAGAAGAGAGAGAGCCAGAAGAGTGTCTTGAGTGCCTTACTCACCCTTACCTATTCCTCTGAAGCAGGTTCTCTCCTTGACCCTCAGGCTTGCAATTTTGCTGGGAGTGGGGGCTAGGATAAAAGCTAGCAAACCCCAGAGATCCTCCTATCTCTAACTACATCCAAGCTGGTACTTCAGGGTGTGTGTGTGTGTGTGTGTGTGTGTGTGTGTGTGTGTGTGTGTGTATTTACACATGTGTGGTTGCCTGCCTTGTTACATGGGTGCTGAAATCCAAACTCTGGTCCTCAGGTCCTTATGACTCCTCAGCAAGCACTCTTAACCACTGAGACATCTTTCCAGCTCTCTGATTCTAGTAATATTTTTAAAATACAGAATTTAAAACACTTTGTGTATATCTGTTCTCCTTAGCTAGAAGACAATATTTCTTTTTTTTTTTCTTTTTGAAATAGTATCTCCCTCAAACTTGCTATGCAGCCTAGACTGGCCTTGAATTCACAATCCTACCACTGCCTCTTGAGTGCTGGGACTGCAGTTGTACACCATCACACCCATCTAAACTGCAGCTTTTTCTCAAGTACAGTCACTATAGTGTCCAGTCCAATTTCAATAAAGACTGGAGTGTATCATTAAAAAAAAGTCCATAGCTGAAAATCTACTTTGCCACATGACCCTAGAAAGGTATTTCAGACTTGGTTTACAACCTAGTAACTGCAAGCAACTCCAGGTTGTTGTGGTGATTCCAGACTAAGTACTATGGTAATTAGCTGGTACAGACAAGTGCTATACAATAGCATTCACAACTCATTTGTAAGGAACTGAGAAGTCTTTGGTCTACCACAACTACATAGATTTATATCAGGAATATGCAAAGTAATTATTGCTACTGTCTGTACAGAACTAGAAAACAACACGAACTAAAGACACTAAAGAAATCAAAATAAATAAAAAAAGAAATCCTTAGAATTTCTTTTAAGATAGTTGTTTATAAATAGATTTTTTTTCTTAGTAGAATACAAATATTCACCAGTCCTTCTGATATTTCCAGCTGAGATCATCCATTCTTGGTTACCTTCCCTAGTTCCTATGGAAGTTGAGCTAGGAATAAAAATTGCTTAAATATTAACTAAAGATGTAATGTGGAAATGGGAATCTTCCACTACTAACTAGCATTGACTGAAAGTTAAATTTACCAAAATAGAAATATTTATGTAGAAAAAGTGCATCTGCCACTCCATAAATGGCAATCAATCAAAAAAGCTGCCGATTTAAAACATGATCTATGAAATGAGACATTATTCTGAAGTGTTTAATCACTAGAGGCTCAAGATGAGAGCCTGGATGGAATCCAGTTGCCAACTGTGTAATTTTAGACTTTTATAGATGATCTCACAAACACAAAGCACCCGTCCTTCATAAATCCCACAGCCCCTCTAAACCCCATGACCACAGAGGGTAAGCAGTCAAAATGATATTCCAAAGTGCAAGATAACAGATTCAAATCAGTGCCATGAAAGAATAATGTGGGTCACGGTGGTTAATAACCATTGATGCTGTAGCTGGACAAGAGCTCCAGCTATAAATATTCATAGAGCATACCTTATTTTCTTTGTATCTACTGAGATCAGCTATGCAGTATTCTTTGAATAATTTATCATAGTATTTCTTTGCAAGTCTCTTCTCCCTAAATCCATAAAAAGTATATATTATATTTTCAGAAATCTAATCACAGTTTACTACTTAGAAGAAATATCAAATAGGTGATGCATATATAATATAAATATTAATGCTAAAGAGGCCTAATACAGACAGATGTGGTGACTGTCTGGAGATGAACTGTTAATGGTGGCTCTCAGAGAGTGAGATGGAGATTTACTCTTCATTTACTACCCTCGGTGATGTCTGACTCTGAACACCACTTTCATGTATTTTGTTTTCCCAAACTATTCAAAACATTTTATAAGGAACATACAATAGCTTATTATAAGACAACAAATAATAGCATAATTATTTTTGAAGACTAGGTCAAACAATTACAAGTAAATTTAATTGCCAAAGATCACCCAAGGAAGCAAACCAGAATCAAGAGTCCTAAATGTAGGTTTCTATCCTTGATTCAGAAACTGTCTATGAAAGAGCCGAATGCCTTCATAAATGATGATTAAGACAATACATACTGGGGCTGTAGAGATGGCGCAAGTGTTAAGAACATGTGTTGTTGTTCTTCAAAAGATCTTAGTTCAGATCCCAGCACCCATGCTGGGTGGCTCACTATCTCTTCTATTCCAGATCTGGACAATATGATGTCCTCTTCTGGCCTCTAAAGGTTCCCAAACGCATATGTGCGCACACACACACACACACACACACACACACACACACACACACATATAAAAGAGAAAACAGAATAAGAAAGACAAGACTATAACACTTGTTCCATTACATTCTAATGGCTACAACTGCCAAGCCATTCTAACCAGTCAAAGCTCCTGCCAACAATTCTGATGACCTGAGTCTGAGCCCTGAGATACACATGGTGAAAGAACAGAACCACTCTTCCAAGTTGTCCTCTGCCCCTCCACACACACACAAAATAAGTAATGGAATAAAATTACCAAGTCATATCTGCTTCATCCTCCTCATTCCATAGGAATCTATGATTTTCTCGTATAACATCCAGATCTGTCTTATCATTCTCCCTAGAAAATAAAAAATTTAATTTAGTATAAAAATAAAATTAGTCAGATTTAAGCAAAATAGTGTTGAAATTTTTGAAAACTTGAATAAAAGAATAAATAAAAATATACTTTAATTTGGAAATTTTTATATGAAACAAATTTCAATATTTTCAGAAGCTACTTAAGAAAAAATGCAAGAAAGGAATGAGTTCCATAGAGAATCCAATCCATTCAACTCTACAGTGGGTTAATTATACAAATTGTGCTTTGTTGCCAAAGCAAGGACAAAAAAGCTCAATAAACTCTAAGTGAGGAAATGTGAATGAAAACAAGTTTCAGAACAGATCTGAGTAACAGATCTCAAGTTTCAGTAATGAGCTCTCCATAATATGCAATGTTATATCATTTTACTAGTTTCCTGGGAAGACCAATAAAGGAGGAAAAAAAATAAAGATGTTCAGCTTGGAAGTAGAATAAACACTTGAGCAGTATGGGCTCAGTGGACAGGGGAAGGTAAAAATGGGATAGCTAATTTAACTATTCAATTAAATAATAGTTGTATTCTTTAGGGCCCTCCCTACTCAGATAGTAAGTCAGAGGGGAATCTACGCAAGACCAACAGCCTCGACACAGGAAGAATTTTCATGTGTGGGAAATTCCAAGTGAAGTCTCCTGCTTGCCTTATTTTTTTAAATAATGTTTTTTACTTTTTTGAGATTATAAATGTTATTACATCATTTCTATCTTATCTTTTCTTCCTCCAACCCCTCTTAAATACCCTCTCCATTGCTCTCAAATCCATGGCCACTTTTTCAATTGTACCATGAAAGCTAGTCCTTAGGAAGGAGGCTTTCAGATCAGATTCATCTAGGGTCATCTGAATCTTGTGTCTAAGTGGCTGGTGTCCTCAGCAGTAGGGACTTATCTCCAACCTCTAGGGAGAAACCAGGGCAACAGCAATAGCCTATATTTGGGGAGTCTTTTGGACATTGCCTTATTTTTGCAAAAGCAATCCTGGACACTACAGTCTAAATGTGTCATTGTTTCAAAGGTCTTATCAACAAGATACAATAGCATTTCTCACAGGAACTGATATTTCCAGCATCACACCTGGTTCAACCATGAAGACGCTCCTTAAGGCCTGTTGCCAACGAAGTTACAATCGCGGTCCTAGCAAGCCATCTGCACTTGCTCTACCAAACTATGGAAACTTCACGACACTTACCCCAACCGCTTAAAGTCCTCTCTTTTGCCACCATAGTACAAAATATAGTCATTTACAAACTTTGTGTGCCTTTGATACTGAAATGCAAAACATTAAGGATTTTTGTAGCTGTTCAGAAGTTCCTCCATTGTAATATATTACTAAATAAAAAGAAAGCATAGTATGAGTCTATCTAGCATTTTTAAATGTACAAATCATGAAGGACAAACACAGCAGACTTTTGCTCTCTGATGAGAACATTTCAAGCATGTATCACTTACAATGTTTGGAATCTTTTTCATGCATACATTACTCTTGTGATAAAAACGTAGAACCACCAGAGGAAAGAGGGAGCTTTCTATTCTGTTTCTAGACTGCACACAGCTTTGTTCTCTCATTCAGTCTAATAATTGTAATACTACAAATAAATTGTGGCTTCTAAATTAAAGGTAAAAAATTAGAATGTATTTTCCATTATTATACAATGTAATAATATTAAAATATATAAAAATAGCATGTGTTTATAAAATTTAATCCCAAGAACATTAAGGTTTCAAAAACAAAGGCAAACCTAAGAAGTCAGAGGGGGAAGGATGCTTGCTCACACCTAGCAGTCCAGCATTCAAGAGGCCAAGGCAGTAGGAACAACAAGAGTGTCTGCCCAGCCTGAGCCTTGGGGTAAAAGAGTGCCTCAAAAAAGAAAAGAAAACGAAATAAATAAATCACAGTTAAGATTCTTTTCTTTTTAATATTCAGAGAATCCACACAAGTATGTATATTTTTTCATGCAAAATAACAAGATATATGAACATTTAGTGTTCGTTTAAAACCTTGGCAGCACTCTCCATACTCAAGCATATGCAAACTGAGCTGTCTCAACTTCAGTGACTACACTCTTACAGACACAGTAATTTCACTGATCACAGTGTATTCTAATAGAGTACTTAATAAGAACATGAAATTGAGGGGAGAGGTAGCCCAAACACCTCAAGGCCTGGGTTCAAACTCTCCAACTACCACTAAATGGGCAAGCTATTAGAACTGCTAATTTTTCTGTAAGGAGCTAGATGACAAATTTTGTAGGCTTTGCAGTCTAGTGGTTTCTGCTGTCACTGCTCAGCTCTGCTAGTGTAACACGAGGCAGTCGTAAGCTACAGGCAGAGCTGTGGTTAACACAACTCCTTGAGCAAAAACATGGCTTCCTGGAAGTTTGGCTTCCAGGAGACAGAGTAGACAAAAAAATTATTCCTTCTCCCTACTTCTTAAACTAAAAACTCCAACTTTGGGCATTATATATAAAAACAAATACAAGCCTATAAAAGATGGTGATTAAAAGGCATACCAGGGACTGTCCTTGTATTGAAGTACATTCATTCCCCAGGGTTTTTTTTGTTTGTTTGTTTTCTATTTTCTTTTTTGTTTTGTTTTTGTTTTGTTTTGTTTTATTTTGCCTCATTTACCTCAGACTTGGCGGAGAGGCTAGCTAGCAACTTGAAAACATCAATAGACAGTCCAAAACAATTACAACAGCCTGCTCTTCCTCACCAAAAGGCCAAGGGTAACTCTAGGAAGACTACTGTGGTAGACTGAATAGGTATGGCCCCCATATATTCATGTGTTTGAATGCTTGACCGTAGGGAGTGGCACTATTAGGAGGTGTGGCCTTGCTAGAGGAGGTGTGGTCCTATTGGACAAGAAGTGTCACCATGAAGGTGGGCTTTGAGGTCTCTTATGTTCAAACTGGGCCAAAGATATTCTCCTCCTGGTTGCCTGTGGGAGGTCAATCCCCTTCTGCTGCCTGTAGATCAAGATATAGAACTCGCTGATCCTCCAGTGCCATGTCTGCCTGCATGCTGCCATGCTTCCTACCATGATGATAATGGACTGAACCTCTGGAACTATAAGCCAGCCCCATTAAAATGTTTTCCTTTATAAAAGTTGCCTTGGTCAGCCACTAACTTTTTGGTTTAGGGTTTTTTTGTTTGTTTGGTTGGTTGGTTGGTTTTTGCTTATTTTTTTGAGCTAGGGTCACTCTATGTAGCCTTGGCTGGCTTGGAGCTCACTATGTAGACCATGCTGGCCTCAAATTCAGAGATCTGCCAGCCTCTGCCTTCTGAATGCTGGGATTGAAAGTGTGCACCACCACACCTAGCAAAATTACTAACTTTCAACATAGTGACTACTCCATTGTAGCTAAACATACTCTCCCCCTCCCCCCCAAAAAACCTGGGGTCCTCTACCATCCATGTCAGAAACACAGCACCTATATTTTCATTCTCACTAGGTGCACTAACACCGTCAATGAAAGTGTCAGGGAAGGGGGAACATACGTTTCTATGTTTATGGGCGATAAGACCATTAAGCTAAGCTAGGCTGCCGATGGGTTAGGAGGTAACAGAGACTTTTTAAAAATCTAGAACACAATAACTTAAAGGAAAGGAATAAGATAAAAAGGCGTCATATGGTAACTCTAGTGTGGAGCATCCTCTCCTCAGTCCTGACCTGGGAGTGAACACTCAGGTCTTGTCTGGCCTCTCCTGTTCTCTAACATCCCGAGTAGCATGATGTCAGGGTAACAGTGCACGACACCATCTGACTTAGAGCTTAAGTCACCCGTCGTACCTGAGGAACAGGGCAACAGCAGGCCTAGAGATGGCACTCAGACAGGCTTAATTTTAAAACAGAAGTTTTGCAGAAAATTTAAAATAGCCAAGAACCAGGTAGAACGGGAATAAATTAAAATGATACTAAAGAAGACAAGAACAGAAAAGGGAAGTGCTGGAAGCCTGACAGGAACATGCTGGACACTTGTAGGTTCATGGACTTTTTAAGTCTATTTATAGACCACAACTAGTATCTTTTTCATTATTTTTACCTCTAATTTTTCCTATCTATTAGTAAAAGAGAATTATACCTGAGAATATAAATGGTAAATTTCTATATCAACAATTTAACCTGTAAATATAAAACTCGTCTACTTTACTTGACAAGATTTTGATTTTGAAAACTTAGAAAACATGGCTAACAAGCAACATACTCTATTAGTTATAAAAATATGACTATAAAAAGGATACAGCATCCATAGCTATGAGATGAAACCTTCTATTTCTTGCTTCTTCCCTGTTTAAAAGAGAAAAGTTTAAGTAAATTAAAATGTCCGTATTTCATTAACATAATCAAATCCACAGGTTCTGAGACTATAAAACAGCTTAACCCAAAGACCATCATAACACCAAAACAGCACACCTGTCCAGCAAGTCTGCGGCAACTTGTTTATGAGCCACCTTTCCATGCCTTTCTTTTTGAAATGGTTTTGCAAGCAGCAACTCATCTTCGACTGTCCTAGTGTAGTAAAAAGAAAGTGTTAAAAGTTGATTTTTCTTGAAGGATGCAATCTGATTCTTCCCATGTTCCTGACTGCTGGGCAAGTAAGTGTTCTACTAGTGACCTCCGTCTCAGCTGTCTTAGGAAGGTGGAGGCGTGCTGGAGGAAGTGGATCACTGCAGATGGCCTGACATTCTATAACCAGGCCTCATACTTGCTCTTGGCTTCCTGACTGTAGACACAATGTATCCAGCTACTTCATGCTCCCACCTCCACATGTTACCCCTGCCTGCCTGAACCCTTCATGCTCCGGCCTCCACATGTACCCCTTCTCACTACCCCTTCTTAAATCTTGACCCAAAACAAATCTTTCAGTTTCTTCTTGTCAGGCACGGGTTCACAACACAGAAAGTAACTAACACAAAGTAAGGACTTGACTTTAAAAGTCTCTGATCTTTAATGAAACACTTTGCTTCTTAATTTTATTTAATACTTATAAAATGGAAAAAATAAAATAAAATGGCTAGTTCTAACCAACAAGTTCCTAGTTCATTTATCACCCTAAGTTATCTGTAAAGTAGGGATAATGAAAATTTAACAGTGCCCAACTAAATCTGCTCAACTACTATTTATAAACCATTTGAGGGAGGATCCTTAGTAGCTTAGGATGGCCCAGAAATCACTATGTAACCAAGGATAAACCTGAACTCCTGATGCTTCTTAATCTATCTCTGAAGGGCACGTACCACTTTTCTTTACACAGCACTAGGGCCTGAACTTGGGGCTTCACATATCCTAGGCAAGCATTTACCGATTTAGTTTCATCCTCAGACCAGAAAGTAATGTTTTTTAATGAAAATCAAAACAGAACAAAACAAAAAACAGTGCTGGAGAGATGGTTCAGCAGTTAAGGGCACTGACTGCTCTTCCAGAGGTCCTGAATTCAATTCCTAGCAACCACATGGTGGCTCCAATGTCCTCTTCTGGTGTGCCTGAAGACAGCTAAGTGTACTCATATACATAATATTAGTAAATCTTTTTTAAAAATAAAGAAATCTTTAAAAAAATACATTGTTATAATACTTTATAATTATTACTATTCTTTTGTTATTGATGAAGATTGATGATCTTACAAAATGTTCAGTCCTAGTTAGTGATTACATATTAGTCTCACTATGGAATAATAAACCAACTTCTCTAAGTTCTGCTACTATGAATCAAGCATCCCTATGTTACTATATAACATGAAATTTCTAAGCACTGAAAGCTAAGAACATTGCTCCTAAACACAGCAATTTGATGAAGATGTAGCCTCCAGCTAGACATGGCAGTTCATGCCGGGAATCCCAGCACTTTTGAAGCTAAAGCAAGAAGATGGTGTCTTAGTGCAGCCTGGGCTATATAAGGAATTCCAGGCCAGCCTAAACTACATAATAAAACTGTCTCAGGAAACAGTAACAACAAAAGAATGTGTCCTCCTTGTGAGGCCCAGGCTGTCTAGGGTAGAGGATTTTGGTCCTCCCAGTTTGGACCTGCCCCTCATTCAAGAAAACATCACAACTGTTCTGAATTACAATTCATCCTCCACATGCATCTCACTGGGAAGACAAGCACTAGCAACTAAGTCTCCTTGAAGCTGTGACATTTGCAGGCACATAGTCCTAACAAATGAAAACAAACAAACAAAAATTCAAAAAACAAATAAAAAAAACAAAACAAAAAAGCATGCAATAGAGAAATCGTTCCCTTTCCCTCTATCCCTTTCAATAAACTCCTTCACAACGCAACTTCACTTTCCCCACAATTACCTCCAAACTGGAATCCATTCATTACTGTGTAACGTATAAAACCTCGATAGCTACAGCAGTTGTTTCTACGTGCAAAGTCAATCCAAAGCCTTTCCATATTATTTATTTATACTTCATGTCCATCTAAAAATAACATGAATGTGGATCAATAATGACTTACTTCTTCCTCTTCTTGCTGGATCCTCCACCCTGCTCCTCATCACTAAAGTCCGAGTCATAGCCTCCGTGCCCGTGCATCTGCAAAGGAATGCGCAGTCAGCTGTGCCGACCTGAGCTGCAATACTCAGGAAACACAAGAGTGAAAAGTAAGTGATCTTCAACAGCCACAGGCTTTACAAGTCATGCAGGCAGATCGCTGTCTATGCAGCCACCTAACACTTTCACTCCCTTTGAAATAAGCAGTCAGATACTTCAGAAATGCACACGTTTTCCACCTTTAATTGCTGTTAAGGGAACAAGGACATTAATCATTGTTCTTTCCAGTGAAACCTAAGCCTGGATGCTGCAAAGCAACAGCATGCAAGGGGCAGCAATGCATCACTTTTGCTTCTGTTACACACCCCCTAGAAATGTTTCAGCCATTGACAGACCATTTGGAAAAAAATATAAACTGTTGCCTAGTACTTCAACTATACCTTCTACATGTGTAGCTACACCCAACTGTGCACATACCATTATGTTACAGTTATCTACAGTAATAATTACAATAACATGCTGTATAGGTTCACAGCCTAGAAAGATACTAGTTTGGGAGCTGCAGTAATGCAGGTGTTTGACGGCTGTACCACTGTGTCAGCCTGTGGTGCATCAACTCTGTGATGTTTGAACAATGAAGAAATTGCAAGGTGTATTTAAATGTCTCTCTTACTAAGCAATGAATGACTATCTTCTTACTTCATCAGAGACACAGTGATAAGCACTTTATAAACCACGGTTATGATTTTTCAAGTTATACACAAGTACTTGCATTTTAGGAATGTAAACGTAGCTAAACCGATCTTTTTGGTTCTTAAAGCCCCAGTTTCAACAGTCTCTTGGGAATATTAGGCACAACTTTCCAGAATCAGTGTTTGCAAACAGTACACTATCAACTGGTTAAAATTTTTCCCTTAATTTTTAAACATGAATTTTGTTTGAGGCTTCCTTACCCCTAGGCTTAGTCAGTTTTACTATTTTCAGACTGACGTTCTTGGAATTGCTGAAAAGCTTCAGCTGTCACTAAGCTGTGTCTGAAAAGGCATTTGATTCTAACTTTCCACAGAGTTTGGAGCACACGTGAGCAAGGGCATAGATGATGTCACTATTGTATGTCATCAGTATTCAACTCCTACAGCTGAAAGGAGCCAGTCCAGGTCAACTGATGCTATTTTTCAGCTTTGGTATTTTGTGTCAGCAAGTGCCCAGAATATATAACAGATATTAATAGGGTTAAAGGTGGGTTGCAATCTCTACAGCTCAAAGAAACCAGTCCAGGTAAAGAGACACTAACTTTAACTTTAGCATTTGTGTTGGCAAGCACAGGTAGGACAGCCAGTGTTTCCATTCTTGACTACGTTCCTTATGTCACTCCATCTGTTAAATAAGGTAGCTATGTCAAATCATTAAATTCTATGAGTCTCTGTAACTCCATTTTCAAACTTGGGTGTGTGAGTATATACTTGTCTTCCCTATCCCACCAAACGCTAAAGAGAAGACGACAGCCAAGCTTATAGACACAGGTTTGCAGGCCCCAGTTCCCACCTTCCCTGATAGACATCTATCATTGTCTTATACACCTAGACGTCACACCTTTTGGCATATCTTATCACAGCTGTTCAAATTATACTACTCCCTAATTCTATATTCTCACTTGCTTCATATTTTGATGGTGGAAAATCACAGTGTGGAGCCTGGAGCTTTGCAGCATCTAAGGTCTGGCTGGCACAGATGCTTTCTCGGCTTCCCAACTTATGTAAAGGTTATGTAAAGTCCGGACCTCGAAGGAGGAAGACATCGAGCTTAAAGAGTTTGGGGACGGTATCTAGTACAGTAAAAACCTGTAAATATGAGCTAGTAGATCATCTTGACCCCTGGTCCCCGACACTTCATCAATCCCATGAGCTATCTTAACACAGTAGCTTCACTAAAAAGCTCTCACTCAAATCATGCTACTCAAATCACCAATCGACTGGGGTTAAGCAAATCTCGAGAATGGGGCTTCTGCTGCCTCCAGAATCTGTCAAAATAAAAATTAGAAGAGGAACAAGTTTCAAAGTCCTCTCTGATACCAAATACGCCCACGATCCTCCTTACACACCCCTTCCCTTCCGCTCCTCTCTGTTTGGCAAGTTCGCCCCAAGAGTCCTGACGACTGCAGCGACGACCCACGGCCTCAGCGAGCCGCTGCAGGTCCGCGCCGGTCCTCCAGAGCCACGCAGCGCCGCCACGCAGCGCCGCCACCCGCGCCGCAGCCACCACTCGCTGCACCGCTGTGCCTACGGGTACCGGCTGGGAACCGCTTCCGGCCAGGCTCAGAGGTGTGTCACATCTATAAGACACCGTTCTCCGGCGCGCCGACCGTGTGCTACAGCCAGAATGGCTCGGGGTAAACAAAGACGGCGGGGAAAAAAAGGCCTGAAAGAGGAAACAGAGGCTCTCTGCTTTGGTCCCTCATTTTTCCTTTGGGCCATCTCCTTTTATCTCTAGGGAATCCAACATGTAGTTTTGGCACTGCCCAGCCCACGTCCTTCATTGGAAAATGTATATTGCTATAGAAAAAACTCCTGCCTATCACCTGCGGTCCTCTCTCTAATAACCTTAGTAACGCCTTCACGGAGCATCCTTGCCCAGCAAGCGGCTCAGCCTCAGATCTGCCTTATTACTCCCTCCTTTTCCCCTACGAAAACAGAGCTCATAATTAGAACAAAAATAGCTTCTCCGCGTTCCGCCACCCACACAATAGATACTGTTCCAAATGCAGTGCTGGCGGCTGAAGAGATCGAGTTGGCGAGGAAAAGAAGAAATGGCGAAATGGAAAAGATTTCACAGGGTCACAGATTCTATGCCAATAAGCGACCTAGGCACTGACACGTGGAAAGAGCATCCAATATAGAATTAAAAAAAATAAAAAGACTCAGGCAGGCAAAATTAAATTATTTTAAGCTTCACTGGGCTCTTTCTGCATTGTGCTTGTTCTACACCGTGACGTCTCATTCCTCTTTCCACTGGGTTCAGATCTTGCTTCCCTCTAGCACCTGCGGTTATTCATCTCTCCCTCCGCAGCCAACACTGTGCCTTTGAAATCACTGGAGCTACTAAAACATTTGGTGAATAGAACTGGCATGCATTTCGCTTTTACAGCAGGCCCATTTCAAGGAAAAACTCTGAATCTTAATACATGTTCGTTTTAAATCTTTTATCCTAAACAGTAGGTAACAATATTTCTGTCAATCAGTTCAAGACTTTTTTAAATTCCTGGCAGCAAAGTATAGATACACCCTGATTTACGCAGAACAGAGAGTGTGATCTTGTTAATTACATGATTATAAATTCATGTATTTCAAGATGCATTTTAATTATACTACAATAAAAATGTTTCCTTAAAAATGTAGACAGGAAGCCTCATAATTTAATATTATAGCATTAAGTTATTTTGTCAAGCAGTCATTTTTGATAGGCACCTAAAAACCAAATACTTTGTTCTTTTATTGCTAATAAGAATTCCAGCAGCCTATATTCAACAATTTTATACTAATATTTGACATGCATTAGCATTTTTGCTCCTTTTTTATCATTTTTATCTGTTAACTTCATTTTAGTTTTCCAACAACCCTGTGCTGCTGTTGTAGCCCTACATTCAAGTTTTTTTAAAAATTTTGCTTCTGTGTAATATGTGTGTACCTGCTTCTCCATGTTACATTACACATGAGGGACAGAAGATGGTGCTGTAAGCCCTGGAACAGGAGTTTCAGAGTGGTGTGGGTACTGGGAGCCAAACCCTGGTCCTCTGAAAGAGCAGCAAGCCTCTCAACAGCTTTGCCAGCTATGGTGGTTTGAATGACAATGGGTCCCATAGACTCATAAGCTTGAAGGCTTGGTCCTCATTTATTGACACTCAAAAGCCCAGGGGCCCAGTCAATAGATAGATAGATAGATAGATAGATAGATAGATAGATAGATAGATATTCATCTCTCTCCATACACACACACACACACACACACACACACACACATATATCACGTGTGTGTGTGCGTGTGTGTATCCAGTTGTATATATGTATCTGTACCTTTGTCCTGGAACTTGTGGATCAGGATGTGTGCTCTCAACTACTGGTCCAGCACCATGCCTATCTGCTGCCAAGCTTGCTGACAATGATGGTCATAAACTCACCCCTCCCCCCGAAACTGTAAGTAGGCCCCCAGTTAAATGCTTTCTTTTATAAGTTGCCTTGCTCATGGTGTCTCCTCACAGCAGTAGAATTGTAACATACCGTCTCTTCAACACATGCTTTGTTTTACTCATGAGAGAGATAGGCACAGATTTTGACCCCACAGATCCATGAGAGTTTGGAACTGGACAGAACTTTCCTTTTACACAATTCAGCTCCTATCCCTCCATTCATAATTCTATGGGGAGTAGCTTCTGATCTGATATGTGTTTCTATTTTCCATTCAATCAAAGGTTTCCATTTTTGCTTTGAGGTCAGCATCTTCTGGAGACATTAAACGGAAAATATATGCTATAGATAGATCACATAATCTGAATTTGAATCAACACAGGACAGAAAACTTACCCGTTGGAAAAATCTCAAGGAAGTAATTACAATTCAATATTAAAAGACACAAACGCCCATAAAGAATATGCTTTGGGTGGAGCAGTCAATGGGATTACAGACATGTAAAAACCACTTCTTTATCTCAAAGAGGAACTAGTTCAAAAGACAGAGCATATAAAACAATAAAATCAGTGTAATCTGTCATATATCATAAATATATGACATATGGAAACCTATGGGTCCCAGGCCCTAAGATATGTTATCAATGATTACAAAAATGCAATAATATATTGATGCTATATATCTCAAAGCAACAAAATGCTATGGTGGGATGAGATAATGGCCAGAGATGGATGGTGATGGCCATAACATATCAAGCCATGCTTTTAATACATGTTCTGTTATACTTTAAGTCTGAACACACTTTATTTTCCCAAAATGATCACATAAATATTTTTTTTCATTAAGGTTGATACAGCATTGATACTTCTCCGTGGTAATCTGATATCTACAGTCTCTGCCTCAGCTGTCAAGGCTCTACAGAAATAACGCTGAGAGGCTTCTGAAGGTGAATTGTAACAGATGATGAGGCTTCTGCCTGACCCTTTCTGTTTCCTTGCTGGTAAAGAGTAGTACAGACAGACCCGAGCCATCTTCACTGAGTCCAAGCCACATTGCAGATTCATGCAAATTAAATGTTGCTTCAAGCAACCAACTCTTGGTGTGGTTTGCTATATGCTGTGAATTGAGATTGCCAGAAAAATAAAAACAGCTACCCATGCTAATCATTCTACAAGGTCGATTGACCGATTACAATTTCAATTTATGGAAAGTCAAAGTGTTGCAGACCCAGTGCCAAATATCTTGGACTATCTTTAACCCTTTAAATAACCATGTATTTCCCACCTGTATGTGATCTAAGATCCTTGCGAAGATTTAGAAAGCACAAACATCTCCTACCTTTCCCAATTCTTGGTTAAGAATGCCATCAGATGGCATCTAAGACCTATAACAGAGATTCCCCCACTTGGATATAACCCACCTACCTCATATTATCATCTGTATTAGTCAGGGTTCTCTAGAGGAACAACGCACACACACACACATATGTGTATCAATACGTACATGTGTGTGTGTGTGTGTATGTGTGTGTATAAAACAAGGTCCAAGAATCCAGTAGTTGTTCAGTCCATGAGACTAGATGTCAGCTGATTTTCAGTATACACTGGAATCCCAAAGAAGTCAGCTCCAATGCCAGTGAAGAAATGGACTTGCAAAAGCAATCAGGCAAAGAAAGCAAGCTTCCTTCTTCCATGTGCTTTATGCAGGCTGCCAGCAGAAGGTGTGGCCCAGATTATAGGTGGGTCTTCACAGCTCAAAAGATCTAGATTAAAAGTAGATTTTCCCACTTCAAGTGATTTAATTATGAAAAATGTCCCTCACAGATGTACCCAGCCACTTGGGTTTTAATTAATTTCATATGTAGTCAAGTCAACAACCAAGAATGTTTATCACATCACCAATGTACCAGAAAGCTCTTGATTCATGGCTTTCTTTACTATAAAACTTCATGAAATTGTGACCACACTGCAACACTGTGTTTGAGATAACCTAAATCTGTCTTCCCTGACCTTGGTTGGCCTTATTTGACTCTAGAATGACCTCTGTTACTAGCTTTGAGGTCAGAGCTATGTTTTTTATGTAAGCAACACCAACAGAAAGCCTGAACTATCTGCTCATACTGTATTGGTTGAGACCCACTTCTTCCTGTATCTGGACTCTCCTTCCTGTTTACCTGCAAAACCCCTTCTTACCCTCCCAACCTCAGCATAGATAAAGGGAAAGCTTTTCATAACCAAACTGGCTCACAGACTGGGTGAGATTACCATAACCAATGCCCCACTTTCAATACTAACTGCCAACAAATATGCACACTAATAGTTTATCCCATTCTCCATCACTGAGAATTAGCCCCACTAAAATAGGGACCATGACTCTCTGTTGTAACCCCCAGTTCTCGGCACAATGGCAGACAAGCAATTGTACTATTTGTTGAAGGGGTAGAGATGGGTTGATGGCTAAAGTGCTTGCCTTGCAAGCATGAGAACTAAATTTAAATCCTCAGAATCCACATAAGAATATGGGCCTGGTGGTGTACCCTTGTAATCTCAGCAATGGTGAAAAGAGGCTAAATAGGTAGGTTCCTGGAAGTTCTCGGACCAATTAGACTAACTAGCTGTCAGAGTCCAGAGCAAAGAGATGCACTGTCTCAAACAAAAGGTGGAAGGCCTCTGAGGACCAACATCTGTGGTGTCCTCTCACCTCTGACATACATGCTGTCATGCTCACAGGTTCACACCCACAAAAATACACATATGTAAATACACACATGTAAATATCTTATTAAACAAGACAAAGTACTATCATCCCTATTTTTACAGACAAGGAAGCTGATTTAGAGAAACTGACTTTCCCAAAGTCATGATGGTA